AGTCTGCTCTTTTGTTCATGGAAATATGATATTAATTTCTTATATCAAAAATAAAATTTTATTATTATTTTATTTATGTATAATAATATTCAAATATTTGTAATACAGTAGAATCTGCTTATTGTAATCATTGATATTGTTATCATTTACCAAATGTATAATTAGAATTAGCAAATTCCAAATTAAAATACTCTTATACAACTTTGCTTATTGTAATCAGCTTTAGCTATAGTTCTTATTATCTTCATTTCAAAGCAGTTTTTTCACTATTGGCCTCAATATGTGGCTAATAACATGAAATTGTTATCAGTCTTAAATAATGCTTTAAATATTAATTGTTTTAATCATTATTTGCTTGTAGTATAGTAAATTGCTGGCATTTTTTACTTTAATATAATATTATAATTAAGAAATTTTAACTTATCCATTTGTTTAAAACTGTTTTATCATGTCCTTTTAATTTCAGTATTAATAAAACCAGAATTTTCATTCACTGTAGTCTTATTTATTTACCCACTTATATGTTATCAGTCAATTATTATCATCAATATAGGCAAATTCCAAGGTAATTATAATAAGTAGATTCTACTATATATATTTCATTACTATTTACACATAAAGATTTAGGAGATAATTTACTAAATATACTGTGTATATATATATATAAAATAACATTTAATAATAATTAATAAATATATATATAGTTTTTAATAATTAATATAAATTAAATTTTTTAGATATTATAAATTATTTCCTAAATTTGTATATATAAATATGAAATGGAAGTAATTTTAAGTTACATTAAATATTCACTGGTGATCAAATTATGTAAACAGAAATCATTCTCAGAAGGCTTTGGAGAAGTTTTAGAAAAGACATTTAAAAGTAAAATATGAAATGGTTTTTAAGTTTAAATACTACCTTAAAAAATCCTGATTTACATGTTACTGTAATGAACAAAATTAAAAATAATAATGCTTTTTGATATGAAATTTAATGATATATCAAATATAATATAAAAAAATTAGCAAAAAGTTGAGAGTTTATTTATTGAAAGCACTTGTAATTTTTTATTAATTTTTCTTATTACATTTATCTATACTATAAATTTAATTATATATACACTCAACCCAATAAACATTGCTAATCAAATGATGTAGCCAGATTCATACTGCTTAATTCAGTTGCTTAATATATTATTAATTAATTAGCTCTATTGTTGTCCATTAGGAATATGGCTGTATTTTTGTTAAATTTAACACCAAAAGATAATATTGTTATTTATTTTACTTGCAATTTTTAGTCTAAGTAATCATTATACAGTATATTGCTTTAATGAAATTGATCAGAACATGATTACACAATCAGTATATGCATTTTAATGAAAGGTTTTTAGCTTTCATTAGTTCACTGTCAGGAATATAGTATTTTGGAAGATAATTAAAAATCTAAAAATTCCAAAATATAAATTGAAAAGTATAAATTGTTTTAATAGAATAGTTTGGAATATGGCTTTTTATGATTATATATAGTTTACAAATTAAAATAACAAATAATGAAAATAATTTTACAATATTATTCTAATAAATGTTGTAAATTAGTAAAATTACACAATTGATCTTATAATTTAGCTGAATAACAATCTACATTCAAGTTGAATTAAGCTTTTAATTAATATTAAAATTTAACTTTAATAACAGTTTAATAATCATTATTAAAGTTAAATTTACATTAGATTATCTTGCCGAGATAATTTACTGAAAACAAAGTAACGTTTTTGGCCTATTCTGTAGGCCATCTCGGCAACATAAGGTATGTTTTGCTAATCTAATAATTATTTGCTGAGTACGTTCTGTTAAATGTTAAATTTATAAATTAATAAAACTATATGTCCCAAAAACTTCTATCAGTTCTTTCTCTGAACCTTGGTTGTCTAATCTAAAAATGTAAATAAACTAAAAAATTTTAGTTTAATAGTTTTATATACATCATTTTTATGTAATTTATCATTTTCCAATTATTATTATTTTGGTAATTTTGATCATTATAATAAAAGAATATAAACTAGTGAATGTAATTGAAAACATTTGTAAATCATTTACTTCACTGCTGGAAAAGTACACAGGTTGACTTGTTGAACATAGATACAAGTTTCAGTTTTTGGAAAGTGCAATTTATATAATAAAAGTTAATTCTTGATAAACTATTTCAATTTCAATATTGTCAGTGTTTTAAAAATTTAAATTTGTTATTTTTAGTGATATATTCCTTATTAATAAATAAAAATTAAAAAAGATGTGTATTTGGGGAGAATTATACCAGATAACCAAGGAAACTTTCAAGCAGAGACATGAAGAATTTGACAGAACTGAGTTGATGATTCCTCGTTGACTTTTCGTACTTTACTCATTCTCAAGTATAGTGCCAGCTCATTATTGCTATTTAAAATAAATGTTGCAATAACAAGAAATAGTTTACACTACAGATACAGATTCAAATATTTTTCATGGTGACTCTTTACATGTATATAAATGAGGATGTTTGTTTGTTTGTCCACTTTGTTTTCATGTTTTTATAAGATTATTTTATTTAAACAAGTTTTATATGAAGTTAAGGTTAAATTTGATTAGATGCGGAGCCATCACAACCTATCCAATATGATCACTTTTCAAATATTAATAGCAGACCAGTATTAATTAGTAGTCATTGACCATTCTCTCTCCCAGGAGGAAGTCATCTACTACTTTTGGTTGAATTAACTTCAACCTCCTTCTGCAACAGTTCCTTCTTCTTATTAGAAACACCAGCATAGTGGCATTCAAATAGGAAAATTACATAATACAAGATAATGGCAAGCACAAAATATGTTTTAATTATTTTTCGAAGGTGCTGAGTTTAAATATTTGGTCCATTTTTTACGAAATTTGATCTGTTGGCAGATTACCATTTGATATTCAGCTGTGAATAGTACAGTTTCTTAAAGTTAATGTTAGAAAAAATTATATCATCTGAAAAAATTTAAATTCCTATCTGTTTAACCATTGAAAGTGTGCCATTTCATACCATCTGAGTATCATGATAAACATGACTAAGATAGGCTAAAATGATCAAACTATATGGTTTTCCTTTTTAATATTTGTTATAGTATTGATTTACATAACTACAGAGATTAATTTACTTAAGGTTTTATCACACCAAGTGCCCAATCTAGTGCATTTTAAAAATTCTTTATTCCTCTACTGTACACAATTTAATTAATTAAAGATTTTTAAAATGTGTTAGATTGGGCACTTGGTGTGATAA